GGCTTTATTATAAGCCCCATTTTCTTTTACAACTTCCTCAATAAACACAGGGAAGCAGCCAAGGTCACTTAGCGAACATTTCCCTTCCTGCTGGCATGACCAGCTCACACATTGAACAGCAGGGGATTGTTTAGATGCTGTGGCGGCTCCTTCCTACTCCTCAGAAATACTAAACTACCCTCAAACTCTTTTTTTTCCTAAATCATGCAACTCCTGAATTAGAAAACCAAGAGGACCCCTTCCCCAACCCTGCCATCCCATGCCTGAGATCCACTTTCCAGTGTCCCAATTTTACCTAAATAGGCAGGAAGTTGCTCACAAGCAGACAGATGCAGTCCTCTACTGATACCCAGTAAGTCCCTCAGGGCTCCAGGCATAAAGCTAGGCTCTGGAGGAGGAGGAGGAAGCAGGGCGGGGAGTTGAAGAAACGTGGCCAACTCAACTCTGATCCAGGCTGCGTGGCCAGCAGAGGAAGCTCTAAGGTCTGAGGCCACTTTGCAGGACCCCATGTGAGCATCTCACCTCAGTGCCACGTGAACAGATGCAGATCGCGGTTCTGACTGCTGGCCCCTGTGTCACACCCTCTCCGATCACGTCTCCTCGAGCCCTAAGTCCTTCCTCTGGCCCAAGGTTAGGACAGGGCAGACGGATCCCCGAGGAGACTCTGTCCCGCGTTGGGGAGAATTTCCCCTTCCCTTGATCTGCAGGCAGCCTGCGTCCCACCCGGAATACAGCCCGGAGCTTCCCGCGACGAGTAAGGAGGTGACTCTCTAAGGGAAGGGCAGCGGCTGTCCTTAGGTTAGAGTGGCATTAGGCTGCAGAGGAAAAGATTTTTTTTTCTCTCCAGGAGAAAAGATATTCTGTCCAACACAGAGGTCCAGAAATGAGTGCAGTCAGGGAGGGAGCGAGCCCCAGTAAGGTACCTGCCGTGTGAAACTGACACCTGCTGCGTGGGCCCATGGGCCTGATTCACAGATGGCCGGAGTACGAAAACTTGTCGTCACACGAGAGGAAAGAAGATCTTGGTAGAGCCCCTAGTATGTGCCCAGGAATTACGCCTGGCACCTCCTTCCTCCTGTAACCCCAGAAAGCAGGTTTCCTTCTTCCCTTTTCACAGGTGCGGAGCTGAGATTCAGGGACAGAGTGACTTACTCATCATCACACAGCTAGGAGGCGGCCGCCCCAGGATTCAGGCCCAGTCTGTCTGATTCCAGCGTCCACACACTTCCCCAATGCGTGCGATCGCAGGGGCACTGCAGAAAGAGAGCTGAGGAGAGGAGGGGCTCCCGGCTTTGGGAGCTGCAGGTGGGTCCCGCCAGCCGGTATGGGGCTCCACTGAGGGTGTCCAGTTTAGCATTACTGAGGAGGGGGAAGGAGCTGTGCAGGAGCAAAGCTCCTCCTTCCCCATCCCCAAAATGTGCCCTACATTTGGGATTTCACCAGTCCCTTCAAGCCCATGGTTTGCCATGCTGGGGATCTGCCTGGTTTACAGGGAAGAGACGGTCCTCCCACCGCCACCTCAGCTTCCCCGAAACCTACCAGAGTTCAGTGGAGTCAGGCCCCTGCTGAATACCTAATAAACTCAATGAGTTTTTTATTTTAAAAGTGCGCATTTTATTGCATGTAAATTAGAACTGACTAAAATCCAGATGTGACTTTTTCAGGGGTTGAGCACCCCTCAACAAGTTTAACTGATGCATCTGCATCATAATAATAAAGACTCCAAGGTACCAAAGGCTTTATCTTTCGAGACCCACAAACTTTCTTTCCTTCTTCGCTTGCCTACCCTCCCAATGCTACCCTGTGACCAAGGCGAACACTTGTTTTAAGGGAGAAGAGGAGCACAGGCAGGATGCAATGCAAGGTCTTAGAGCAGGAAGCCTTTAGGTTTGACCCGAGGAAGAAATTCCTCACAGGAGAAGTGGTTACACGCTAGACTGGGCGGGGTGGGTCACTGGGCCCCCGCCTCTGCTTGGCACTCCTTAGAGCCCAGCTTGTCACACACAGCCCAGGCATGGAAACTGCAGGTGATGCAGGGAATCTTAAGTGGTGGTTGCTAGGTTACAAGCTTCCTCAAAGTGCACTCATTGTAAAGACTAAAGGATGTCACCTGGCGGGAGGAAGAGCTGTGGGGGAAGGAGTGGGGAGATGAAGAGAAGCCCAGACTTCCAGGACAAGCAATTAGGCCACCTCCTGGAAGGCATCCTGTTCTCAGTATTTCCCAAGGGTCTGAGTTCCTAAAGCCCATGGTCCTTACAGAGGGCGGTGCTTGGGGGACAGGAGCATTAGGTTAGAAATAGGCCTATTCTGGGGCTGGATTCCAGTCCTTTCCAGTTGTGCTGCCCAGCACAAACAGCAAGGCGATGGGAACACTTTGGGGTCTGGGCTCCTGCCTTCACTGTAACTGGGCAAAAAGCCAGGTGAGAGTCAGAAAGCTGGATGTCCTTAATAATGTGCAATGCTTTCATTTGGGATTTTGTTGTGATGACGTGAAAGAGCATTAGATGTGGAAGTCACAAACGAGACCCACCCTGAACAGCTCACGTGGTCGTAAGGCAGTTACTTCATTTCACTAAGTCTCATTCAGCTCCTCGTCTGTAAAAACCAGATACTGACGCCTGCCCTTGCAATCTTTCCCAGGATTGTTTTAGGATTATGAGAAAATGGCCCTGCCCAGTGTGGCTCAGCCAGACCCTCATCCTGTAAGCCAAAAGGTCATGGGTTTGATTCCTCGTCAGGGCGTGTACGGGAGGCATCCAAAATCAATGGATATATCCTCAGGTGAGGATTAAAAACAACAACAAAAAAAAGATTATGAGAAAAGGATGTACAAGGGCTTAGTTTAACTCTATGAGCTATGCAAACGCAAAGTAGTATGGAACTCTACAGCTGCTTATAAAGCTGCCCCAGCTGCAGTGGGGGCGTGGGGCCACGCGAGGCCTTGGCTCACCGCTTCGGTCGCAGGCTCAGCGGGCGAGAGAGGCTGAAGAAGGACCCAGACTAGCTTCTCTGAGGAAGGCCTATGACTTCAAATCTTCCTGATTTTGTGAACACAGTTCAAATTGAGGGTTGAGAGTTTGTTCTCTATTCCTCTGAGCAGATTGTGATCCCTAGGAAAAAGAGAAATGTTTCCTGTGAAACTTCATTAATTCAGAACACATTCTTTTGGAATTTATGAGTTCTTAATGAATAGAGAAAAAGGAACACAACCTTCCTCTGTGATGGTTCTAGAGCTGCTTACTCTGTAAGTACAGAGAATTCAAACTAAAATACAGTGGAATTTCTAAGCTAAGGACTCATGGTTTTGAGATGGGCCTATTGGGAATTGTGACTTTTGTTCATCACAGGAAGTCATTTCTAAGGAAGGGACAAAATGTTTGTGCTTGTTCTCAGTTCTTTTTTGTTTGTTTTGTTTTGTTTTGTTTTGTTGACAGTAGTTGTAGTAATAACGACATTCTTTTTTTTTAAATAACAACGTCCTTAGCAATGTACCAGGCCCTTGTTTTATCTCAGAAGCTGAACTGAACACTTTGCAAATAATATCTCATTTAATCTTCATAAAAATCTACAAGGATATATCCATTCCATGGAATGCTACTCAGAAATAAAAAGGAATGAACTATTGGTACAGGCAACAACTCGAATGAATCCACAGAATTCTGCTGTGGGAGGAGAAGCCAGTCCCAAAAGGTTACATACTGTACAATTCTATTTATATAATATTTTTGAAATGACAAAATTACAGAAATGGAGAACAGATTGGTGGTTGCCAGGGGCTGGGGAGAAAGGGATGGAAGAGAAGTAGGTGTGGCTATAAAAGGGCGACGTCCAGGATCCTCGTGGTGATGAAATGTCCTGTATTTTCACTGATCAAGTTCCATATCCTGGTTCTGATATTGCACTTGAAGTTTTGCAAGATATTTGAGGGAGACTGAGTAAAGGGTGTTCTTACAACTGCATGTGAATCTACAATTTATCTCGAAATATAAAGGTTAATTAAAATAATGTAGGAAAACCGGGGCTCAGAGTCAGTCAATAATTTCAGAGCCAGAATTGAAACCCAGGCCTCTCAGATTCCCAACACTGAGTGTTTCAAGACTCCACTGTGTTCACATAGGCCGAGGACCCCACAGGCCTTGTAGTCCATCAGACCAGGTGGCCGCTGGAGTCATGGGCAGCTGTTTTATTGGGGACTGCTGTCCTGAAAAGGCTGTTAGGGAGTGGCTTCCAGAGTTATTTGGCAAGCCCTGTGGGCTGGTGCTGAGGGCCACCACTGGGTAACCAGGCTTCTCCTTCCCCAAGTGTATGAAGAAGGGGGTGAGGGAGTGACAGCCTGTGAGTGTGCCCCTGTTAGTGTCTCCGGTTGTGTGTTCACATATCGGTGCATTTGTCAGTTTCTCCGTGGATATGTCTATTCGTGGAGGTGGGGGGGAGGTGATGTATTAAGTATACATATGTGTGCTGGTTGGCGTTTACATTGTTTGGAGGCGCCTGTGTCAGGTCTGCGTCGATCACACCCACATCACTTGATTCTATTAGGTTAAACCGCTTGGTAATAGCTCCCCCTAAGCAAAGCTGACTGTGGAGCCAGCCTGCCAGGAACTGGGTCTGTGTACTGTGGATAATGTGGGTAATTGGACTCTCTCCGCCTTCTCATCCAAAACAAACATTCGCAAACCTCCCACCCCCACACTGGAGGGAGTCTGTCCCCCGTCATCTGGGCACTTAATGCCCTGATATTCCTGACCCTGTAGACAAGGTGAGCGGCTCCGCCAGGCCCCTTCCCTCCCCCGCAGGCCGGGAGCTGCAAGGGCTTATGTAAAGAGGTCACAGCTGCTCCGCCGCGGGGCGCACGCGGACTCCTGAACAGGTGTGGCAGCGGCTGCGGGTGGGGATGCGTGGAGCAGGCTGGCCGGCCTCCTCCCCCGCGGCGGCCCCTCTTCTCCTCTGCTGTTCATTTATTCTCTTCCTCTGCATGTCTGACAGCGGGGTGCGGACTGGGGAAGGATAGAGCGCCTGTCCGTTGCTCCCCGCGCCACTGGGCGGGGGCTGCCGGCTCTCGGGTGATGCGCTGTCTGCGCCTCGCGCCACGCTGCTCCGCCGGGCTGGGTAAGTGGCGCGGGGGCGGGGACGGGAGACTGCTGGGAGGTGGGGGACAGGTAGCGGTGGGAGGCGTGGACGCCCAAAGGTGTTAACTCTTTGCTTAGCTGGGCGACAGCCAAGAACCCGGAACCGAGAAAGCCCCTGCCCCACCCCGCACGGCCCATGTCCCCCGCGCTCCCCGCTCCCCCGTAGGTTTCCAACAAGCTGGCTGGTAGGCGTGGAGGACAAAGCGTTACAGGACGTGGTGCCGCCGCGGGGTGGCGCCCTTGGCCGTGGAGTCCTCCCTTTAAAGTTGGCCCTTGGGCTGGGAGCCCGCCCCGCTGCCGGTGCTAGGAGGCGAGGGCGCTTGGCACAACCGCCCTTGACTCGCCGCGTTTCTCCCTCAGGGCCCAGCGTGGATGCCACGGGACTGCTGAGTCTTGAAAGCCCGTGAAGCGCTGGCCGGCGTCGGGGCCCTTGCTGGCCCGCGGGAGTGGGATGGAGGCGGCGGGAGGGGACGCGGAGTAGCCGGCGCCTTCGCTCCCCCGCCCCCAGTGGCTCGCACCTCTGTCCGGGCCCTGGCGCTCCGCGGCGCAGGGACGCGGCGGGAGGGGTCCCCGGGGCTGCCATGGAGGTGCCCGACGTCAAGGACTTCCAGTGGAAGCGCCTGGCGCCACTGCCCAGCCGCCGGGTCTACTGCTCCCTGCTGGAGACTGGGGGGCAGGTCTATGCCATCGGGGGATGTGACGACAATGGTGTCCCCAGGGACTGCTTTGAGGTCTACTCCCCCGAGGCTGACCAGTGGACCGCCCTGCCCCCGTTGCCCACTGCCCGGGCTGGGGTGGCCATCATCGCTCTGGGGAAGAGGATCATGGTGATCGGGGGTGTGGGCATTAACCAGCTGCCCCTGAAGGTTGTGGAGATGTACAACATCGATGAGGGCAAGTGGAAGAAGAGGAGCGTGCTGCGCGAGGCCGCCATGGGCATTTCTGTCACGGCCAAAGGCAAGTGGGGCAAGGGCTGAGGTGGGTGGAGAGAAGGGAGTGGGGAGACCACGGGGAAAGGAATGGGAGCCAGCACTGAGTTTGGACCCACTATCCCATTTGATCCTTAAAATAGACACTAAAACTAGAGACCCAGTGGCCTTATTTTACAGATGGGAAAACTGAGGCTCACCAAGGGAAGTGTCTAGTAGTTCCATATAACACCAGATCTCACTCCACCAGGCTCCTCCCAGCAAGCTGGGCAGGCTGGGCGGAGGGGAGAGCTGGAGGTCGGTGCAGTGATTCTGCAGACCCCTTCACTCGGCAAATGCAGAAACTACCACCCACAACACCCCACCCCCTGAGACTGCCTTGCACCTGCCACCAACTCCAGATGCATATTTGGGGTCCTGGGGATGTTCACACCATCACTGCCCCATCACCAGGCCCCACTGAGGGGGCTTTGGGACCTAATTCCAGGGCTCTCTCCCTACCCTCAAGCTCTCCCTGTCTCCTAATCTGAGATCCGGATAAGGCATCTTGCCTGTCTTAGGTTCTCAGGGCTGTGTGTGCTGACCCTGTCATTTTATGATTTTCATCTCGCTTTCTCCAAGCCTCTACTTTCCTTCTCTTTTGGCCTGGAAGAGCCCAGAGCATACACATGGCCCCCAAAGTTCTTTTGCTAAAACACAAAGGGTTTTATGGGAAGTGGTCCAGTAGGAATTAGGAGACCCCAAATCCAGACAGGCTTAATGGGATGCAGCCTTCCCTCCCTCTCTTGCAAAATCATCCAGCTGCCTGCTGGGTCTACTATAGAGCAGGAGCCAGGATAGCACCTGCTCTGTCCCTGGCACAGGCCAAGGTTCTAGGGAAGAGGAAAAGAGGCAGAAGTTCTGGTCTCTGTCTTCAGGAACCCAGGTCTGACCAAGGAGGGTGGCCAGAGAGAAGCTCTAGCCCAGAATCCTTCAGGGCAGAATGGTCAGTGAAGTCTCTACAGACTCCCAGTAAGAAGGATGGAAGGCGTGGAGGCCTGTGGGGAGACGGAGAGAGCACTCCTTTATCCCCAGGGCTCAATACGTGGTTCTCTAAGATGAAGAGCTAACATTTATTGAGTCCTTACCAAAGGTGTTTTATATATGTTAACCTCTTTGATCCTTACAAGCTGTCTGATGAGGTAAGTGAGATTATTATCCTCATTTTAGAGAGAAGCAATGGGAGGCCCAGAGAAGTTAAAAAGCTTGCCCACGGTTGCACAGTAAGTGCTGACTGAGTATATGCCCTTAACTATGGCATTGAATGGGTTCATCAATTACTTTAATAAGCATTTATATGCCTGCCTGTCAGGCATTGAACCAGATGCCAGGATCATAACAAATTCTCAACAACCTGCAATCTATTGGAAAAAACAGACAGATTATCTCAGTAACGTACAGTGACTAGAGAGAGGCGGGTGTCATGGCAAGAACAGAACCGGTGCCCTCAGCCCAGCCTTGACGCTCAGGGACACTCAGGTGACTGAAAGGATGAGTGGAGGGGCCTGAAGGGTTCCCAGCTGGAGGTGTGTCACAGGTGACACAGGCCTGGGAGAGGGGGAGCTCGTATATGCTAACTTTATTAGCAGGTCTCATCTCACAGCCTCAGGCGAGGGTTGGATTTTTTTTCTTTCTTTTCGGTAAGATTGGAAAGGAAAAGGAAGTAATGTTCATTCCTTATATACTCTTGAAGAAAAAAGACCCCCAAGAGTCCGAGGTGGTGAGGACTGGCTACTGGGAGGTGGGAGTGGGTCCCTGCAACATAGAGAGCCCTGTGGGGGGCTGTGTGCCTGACAGACTCCAGGAGGTACTGGGACGAGGCCCAGGGACACGTCGATGCCTTGTCCATCCTTGAAAAGCCACCTGCAGCCAACAGCAGCAGAGCATGAGGGGCACCTGCTTTTCTCAGAGTGCTTAGCTCACTGCCTGGGCAGGGTTTCTTGAAAGGGCTAGTTTTCCGTCCTCCATGCCTCCCCTCAGTCACCGCTACCCTGCCCCATTTAGTGTAGGTGCCTCCTGGAGCCCACAAGCTTGCCGGTATGTGAAGGAGGATGGCACTCCCCCATGGAGATAGCAGAAAACAGAGGCACCAGCACCAGTCCAGTGTCCCACAAGGCCAATGACAGCTGGGCTGACCTCATTTCCAAGGGCTCCGGCTAGGCCTAGAGAGCTCCAGTCTCAGAGTGCGTGGGCCATGCCACTTCTGGAGGGGATATGAGAGCAATGCCCTTCCTGTTTCACATCCCCTCTGGCACCCCCAGGAAGGAGGAGAACGTACGGAGCAAGGCCTGCAAAGGGTTGTCCAGGTCTAGACTCCACCGCAGTTTGCCCCTGTGTGAGGCCTAGTGTTTCGGGCTTCGTCAAGGGCCGGACACCAAGGAAAGCTAAGGCATGCAGGCCTGACGTGGCTTCAGGAAGACCCAGGCTCAGTGACAGCAGGGACTGTAAATATTGCCTCAACCCCACTGACGTAGGTGGCTCACTCTGGCAGAGTGGTGGCTGGGAACCCGGCAGGGCCTCAGTGCTGGTGGCAGGTGACGAGTACTGATGGGCCCTTCTCATGGCGCCTGTGGGCTGAGCCAGGGTTGCATGTGAACTTTCTCCTTAGATTACCGAGTGTACGCGGCAGGCGGGATGGGCCTAGACCTCCGTCCGCACAACCACCTTCAACACTATGACATGCTCAAGGACATGTGGGTGTCGCTAGCACCCATGCCCACCCCGAGATATGCTGCCACCTCTTTCCTTCGAGGTTCCAAGATCTATGTGCTGGGTAAGGCCGGGTTGTCTGTCCCACCTCGGTCCTTCCTTCCCCACTTGTGTAGGTCCCCATGGGAAGCAATGCCTGTGTGTAATGCCTTGGCACTAGAGGGTGAGCATGCTGCCCCATCCCTCAGGGAGCTCCTGTACAATCAGGAAACAGAAAGGGAAACCCAGTCCCTGGCTTCGGGGTCTTACTCTTCTGCCCAACCCCCACCCTGGTGTGTTCTCCAGGGGGACGACAGTCCAAGTATGCCGTCAACGCCTTTGAGGTCTTTGACATTGAGACTCGGTCCTGGACCAAGTTCCCCAACATTCCCTGTAAACGGGCCTTCTCCAGCTTTGTGACGCTGGACGACCGCTTGTACAGCCTGGGAGGCCTGCGGCAGGGTCGGCTCTACCGGCAACCCAAGTTCCTCCGGACCGTGGACGTGTTTGACATGGAGCAGGGTGAGCTGCGTGCCATCTGCCTCTGGCTGTCTCCCCCACCGTCCCTCTCTCCCTCCCAGCCTCCCAGGGCCACTCACCCAGCTGGGTGAGCCTTTCAGAAGTCTAAACACCCCTCTCCATTCAGGGATACTCTTGGGACCAAATTCTTTCATCTGTACAGGGCTCCCTTTGGTGGATTGGTTGTTTTTATCAAAGCTTTTGTCCACCTATTGTCTCTTCTTACAGCATCCGGGCAGGGCCGGGTGAGGGAGGGCTTTTTGCTGCTTTTACTCAGGGAGAAACGGAAAGATCCTGACTGCTGTGCTAGCTGCCTCTAGTTAGATTTTCTCCAGCTTAGAGCCTGTGAGAGCAGAGGTGGAACAGGTAAGTCGCTGCAGGGCATGAGAGTTCCCAGACTGCCGCCAATATGGGAGAGGGTAGAAGCCATGGAGAGTGTCATTCAAACAGCAGGACATTGTGTACGTTCTGAGCACCCCCAGTAGATGGAGTGGGGACTCTGCCCAGGGTGAGAGCTGTTTGTGACTCAGCGTGTATTGGGGTGCTGGGGTGGCACCTCGCTCTCTACATCCTGCTCTCATCCATGCCTGTAGGGGGCTGGTTGAAGATGGAGCGCTCCTTCTTCCTCAAGAAGCGGCGGGCAGACTTTGTGGCCGGCTCTCTGAGTGGACGGGTCGTAGTGGCCGGAGGACTTGGTAAGGATGGAGCTCCCGGGCTGGCACTGTGGCGCTGGTGCTCGGCAGGTCGTTGGCTCTCTGCACGAGCAGGAGAGGCAGGCTGGCTCCTGCCTAACGCTCCGTTCCAAAGACTCCAAAACATTCCCTTTCTCCTAGCCTGCACTTCATGTATCCACCTCTGGGCCCCAGATACAGGCTTTCTGTCCTCTCACACAGGGGACACTGAGGCCCAGAGAACATAAGTGGCATACCAAAAACCACATAACACAGGGGTGCTCAGCACAGACCCTTGGGGGCCCTAGCCAGGAATGACGGAGACAAAAGTGTGGCAGGGATCGGCCTTGGTCCTTTCTCTGACCACCTCTTCTCCCTGGACACCTGACTCCATCATGGAATAGGAAAGCAATTTGATCAAATGTGTTAGTGTGATGAATTCGGGACTTGCTGTGTTACCCTTCCAGAGGTTAGTGGTATTTTGAATGCAGAACCCCAACGTCAACGGGGGAAAGAGAGACAGGCAGCGGGCTTCCAGGCACTTGCTCAGTGTGGACAGACTCCGCTTCGCCAGCTCATGAAAGGAGCGCCATGTCTCACATGCCACGTGGGTCACTTTTTAGTGCAAGGCAGGAGGGAGGCGATAGTGGTTAGGAACTTCTGGTAAAAGCTGGGGATTGGGGAAAGAAAACTTACTCATGAAGAGATGAAAAGACGGAAGGTGGGAGAGGCAAAGTGGCTGATTGACCAAAGCTCCTGGCCCAGGGTAGGGAGGAGCCACGGAGGCAGTTGAAGTACCTTGGCTTCTGCAGGTGGCGGTGAGTGAGGTGGGGTGACCGCAGGGCATGGACTGGTGGCTGGCCACCTTTGTAAGTTCCAGTTCCCTTTCAGGAAACCAACCCACAGTCCTGGAGACCGCAGAGGCGTTCCACCCAGGGAAGAACAAGTGGGAGGTGCTCCCGGCCATGCCCACGCCCCGCTGTGCCTGCTCCAGCATTGTCGTCAAGAACTGCCTCCTGGCCGTGGGGGGCGTCAACCAGGGTCTGAGCGACGCGGTGGAAGCCCTGTGCGTCTCGGACTCCTAGCTGTACTGGGCCCGGTGCCTTTGCCCTGGACCAGATCACCTGACTCTTGACAAGAAAAATGGTGTTGTCAACACAGTTTGGGCCCCTTCCAGACTCCAGCTCCTATCAGCAGCCAGTGGGGGCCAGGTTCTGGGGCTTAAGTGACCTCCCTCAAGCTCCTAACCCTACCAGTTCTAGAAAACTATAAGAAGTCCCGATGACCGCCAGCCCCCGGTTGGAGCTCAGTGGCCCTCAGGGGAGAGTCCTCACTTACTGCTCAGGCAGAGAAATGCACCTGCCCCTCTGTGAGCCCCGTCTCTCCCCATCCCCAGGGTAGCTCTGACCCAGAGGATGAGCTGCTGCTGCTGTCCTTTCCCCAGTGCTCAACTAGTGTCAGGGTCTCTTAAAATGGAAAATGGAGAAGGGTTGGGGGTTCCCAAATGCCTCTGCCCTCCCTTGGTCTACATCCCTTCCCCACCTGCTGGTCAGTTGTGAGGCTGCCCTGCTCAGCAAGAATTGCCCTGAGAGCTGGAGGCAGCTGAGTTGGAAGGGAAGCTGTGGACCGATCTGTGCGGTCAGCCTTGGCCAGGAAGGGCCCACGCCTCTCCAGGGTGTCGTGCGGGTGTGATGCTGGGGAAGGAACAGACTCACAGCCCAGGCTCTGCTCACTCCTGCCACCCCTCGTCCCAATAGCCCCAGAGCATTTCTCTGTGAAACCTCATTTACACTGTGGCATCAAAATCCACAAAGGATGGATTAATTGCACTCTGGTTAACAGCAGCAGCACAATGATTAAAATCTATATTCCTATCTTCTCTGGCATCTTGGTGTAGGGGTGGGGTGGACAGGCAACTTGGTGCGTGGAGAGAACCCCGTGAAACAGTCCCTCTGATAGTCTTAGGATGAATAGAACCCCAAGTGACCACCTATTCTTGGCTGTTCCCTCTGAGGAGGTTTCACTTTCAAACCACCACGTCCCCTCACTTATAGTATAAGTCACCTCACTTAATAGTAAAACAGTGTAGTTTCCTTCATGAGAGAATTGAGACTGTGTGCGTTAAACACCGTCGCGTTAGGTAGCTGACTTCCTCAGGTTACTCCTCCCATCTCAATTCGTTCAGCCTAAGCTCGTTTCTGCCTGGCCCCCAAAGCTAAGGAACATGCCTCCTCTGAGTCTGTATAGCACCTCTTTCTGATTCCCAGAGATTTTTTAAAAAGCTGTGCTAGCACCGGGGATACAAATATGAAAAAAGACCTGCTCCTGGGGCGTTGCAGGGGAGCCAGGAAACACTGCACGATGGTTTGGTCGTTTCTCATGAGGCAGGGAGAGGGGAAAACCGGCTCCCTGCCTGGGTCCGAGGGTCAGGCCGAGCCTCCTGGGGAGGCGGCTCCTCGGCTGAGCTGCACAAGTGGAACCTGGGACTTCGAGAGCTGTGGCTTTCCTCCTTTTCTCTGATACCTGGCCTTTGTCCTTATATGGGCCCTGCAAGGGCACTGCCACCTGCTGGCCCAGCCTCGCCTTCCCACCCAGCTAGAGGCATGCTGTGGCCACGGGTGCCCCCTGGTGAGCCAACTGCAGAGAGGCCTCTTCTATTAATGCAGACACCCCTAGTTCAGTTCTGCCTCCTGAACTAACTGTTAGAAAGTGGGGCTGAAGGGGCCACAGATACTCTGAGGCTGGAACAGCATGTTGGAGGCAGCTGTTCCACAGTCCCGCCCTGGCCTGGCTTCCCCGTTCCAACTCCATTTCTGCCCTGCCCCCCTTGCCTTCCCCAGAAAGGTGTTTACAAACAGGAGGTCCCCCTACTCTTTCCTAGAGGAAGCCAAGCCAGGCCTGTGGGTGTGTGGGTGGGTGATTTCCATGTGCACAAAATAGTACCAGATCCGTGGATGAGACTGAGGCATTTTAAAACGGTGAAAACTGCCCTGGCTGGTGTGGCTCAACTGGAGCATCATCCCACATACTGAAAGGCTGTGGCTTTGATCCCCAGTTTGGGTGCTGATGAGAGACAAATTGATGTTTCTCTCTCTCATTAATGTCTCTCTCTCTCCCTTCCTCTCTAAAACCAAACTTTTTTTTTTTTTTTAAGATTTTATTTTTAGAGAGGGGAAGGTAGGGAGAAAGAGAGGGAGAGAAACATCAATGTGTGGTTGCATCTCGCGTACCCCCTGCCAGGGACCTGGCCTGCAACCCAGGCATGTGCCCTGACTGGGAATCGAACTGATGATCCTTTTGTTCGCAGGCCGGTGCTCAATCCACTGAGCCACACCAGCCAGGGCAAATCAAACATATGTTTTAAAAAATTAAGAAAAATTAAGTAGTCGAAATCTTGGGGTACAGCCAGCCCTACCAGTTTCTCCCTGTTATGAGAATGAGGGATTAGCCACTGGAACCTGTGAGGGCCACTCAGGGCTATGGCTGGTATCTGCTGAGGACTTTCCTCTTAGAGGTCCATTCTGGGGAGACTCTGGGGGTGCCTGGGAAATAGGAAATGCAGTGGCAAATCTCATGACCGCACCTCATGGGGCCACGGAGGCAGCTCCAGATCTAGGGTTGGGTGTCATGGCTTCAGGCCTCACGCCTCCTCCTCCCCCCAACAGACTTCCCTATCACCATCCACTCTGGGAAGTTCTCACTACTTCATTTCCCAGCCTATAAAAAAAGCCACTGTGATGCCATCTTACAAGGTGACAGCACCAGCTTCATCCCCAGATCAACTCTATGAGGTAGGCAGCATCGCCCCATTTTGTGGATCAGAACACTAAAGCTCGAAGATGTTATGTAATGTGCCCAAGGTCACAGTGAGTGACTGAACCAGGTCTGAAGCTAAAACTTAGGACCACCACGCTGCGTTGCCTCAAATGAAATAGCACCTATCAGCTGCTCTCCACTAGGTAAGGAGTTCCAAACGTCAAACCTCGAAGGATGGAGACTTTGTGCTCCAAGGAATTAGCAAGGAAAGATTGGGAAGGGCTAACATGAACTGTGCATAGAATCTCCCTAAACTTATATCTCAGGAAAGTTCCCTCTTGCTGCTGTTTTCCATTGGTGATTCCAAAGCTTTGTTTCACCCTGAACAACTATCCTGTGCCTGGCTCAGCCCTTGAGTCCAGACTCCTGCCGTCAGGCATTGCAGCCTTGAGAGCGAGATGGGACTGAAGCTGCAGTTAGCTGTTGGCCTTTGGGACTGAGAGAGCTGTTGGCCTTTGCTAGTACCACCCAGAGGCACCTCGCCCATGGTGGCCACAGGGAGCCCAGATGAACTGAGGATGTCCGAGTGGGGTTCCAGAAAAGAAATCTTAAACTGCACTTTGAAAGAAAGGGGAGGCCAGCCAGGCTTCCAAACAAGAGACAGGGATTGAACCATGACTGTCATGTGCGAATTGCTCCTGGGTTGTTGTTAACCTCTCTGCGTCTCGGTTTCCTTATTTGACAACTGAGCAAAACAAGGCCTCACTATGAGGTTAAGAATTACCTACTTTATATAAAACGACTTGCGTACATGAGGTGAGTGGCTACATTGTTGTTTTTGTTGAAGGAGAGGTAAAGGGGTGCACAAGCACACTGGGGAAAGGGCTTGGTTTACTGGGGGGACAGCAGCACGTGGAGATTCTAAGGAGGCGGGGCGGGGCGGGCCGTGCAGACGGGCAGCTCCGCATTGGCCTTACGTGCCCTGCTAAGGAGTCTAGACTTCATCCACATGGAAAATTGGAGCAAACTGAGGATTTTAAGTGGAGGAGCATTGTGATCAGATTAGTACCCCTGGAACATGGAATAACCAGAGTTCCTCTTCTGAGGAAAATGAGGTATTAAGCAAAACTACCAAGGCACCATCTAAGATTAGGAATAACCCCAGTTGAGGTTGGAATCCCCCTAAAAACATGCAAGCCAAGGTTTCCAGGCATCTCTGGAGGAGGGCCATCTGCTGGGCAATCAGGTAGGGGTGAGACTGCGGAGAGTGGACAAGTCCCTCCCCTCCATCACCTCGTTTCCTCCAGAACTTCTTTCTAATAACCTCTTGCAATTGCATTGGGCTTTCTGACCCACAGAGATCCCGCATGGGAGGTAAGGTATGTTGGCCTTTTCCAACTCCCATTTTACAGAAGAAACTTCGGACTAACATAGGCAGCATAGCAATTACGTGATGGGAAGGAAATTCTAGCCCCGCTCAAAAGAATGCAAAACAGCACACCGTTGACATGAGCTAAGGAGTAGGGGATGGCAACAAAGTCTGTCAGCCATCCATGCCCCCAGGTGGTGACAGAATAGGACCAAAGCCTAGAGAGAACTGGAGTTATCTGGTGAGATCAAACAGTTGCAGAGGCAGAAGCTCCGTGTTAGAATTAAGTGATGGCACAAGACAGGCAAGAGCTGAAGAGGCCAGCACAGGAAAGGGCCCAGGCTGGCTGGGCAGGTAATTTTCCAAGTATATTCTTTTCCTAGGGCTGCTGTGACAGAATACAGCAAACTGGTGGCTTTAAGCAACAGCAACTTATTTTCTCACAATATTAGAAGTCTATTGTCCCACAATTCTAGAAGTCTGAAATCAAGGGGGTGGAGGGTACTTCCTTGCCTCTTCCTAGCCCCCGATGGCTCCCAGCAATCCTTGGTATTCCTTGGTTTATGGCAGCATAACTCCAACTTCTGCTTGTTCTTCATATGGCCCTCTCTCTTGTGTGCCTCTGTCCAAATTTCTCTCCTTATGAGAATTAGGTCCATGTTAATCCATTATGACCTTATCTTAATTACATTGGTATGGACCCTATTTCCAAAAGAAAGATACATTCACAAGTACAGGGGCTAGGACTTCAATGTATCTTTTGGAGGGACAAAACTCATCATTAATGGATGGATGAGTGTGACAGGAAGAGCCCCCGAAGGCTGAGTTAATCTGGGAAGGCTTCCTAGAGGAGCCTGCTACTATACCTGGGCCTCATAGAATGGGAGGCTGGTGTGCCAAGTGCATACAGGAGTGGGAGGGGCGTGAAAAGTGGTTAGGAAGCAAGTTGGCATCTGCAGATCTTGAAGGGTGAGTGGGCAGATGCCTGGAGGGGAAGAGTTGGGGGAAGGTCAGCGTAGGTGTGATGTGATTGTTCTTGCCTCATCTCTCAGACCCCGCCCACCTCCTCACACTCAGCACCTATCCCCTTGTCCCAACCCCCTGCAAAGAGTAACAGAGGAGAGAGGGATGGTGTCTGGGGAAAGAGAGGCAGGCCAGCTGACCGCAAGGACAAAGCGTCTCTAGAGCGTTAGAGTGTCCTGGGTTAACTTCATGTACAATCTCTTGTGATATTACCCTTCTTATTTAATGGTTTAAATTATGGGCTGTTTTTCCAAATATTCCCATTCATTTGAGCTCCCCACACAGGTATGTGACTGGTTCAAATAACACTCAGAGTCCAGGGTTCGGAGGATATGAAGCAGAGCACCAAGAAATGGCTGTTCACAGCCCAAAGGCCAAAGTGAGGACCCTCTTCCCAAGAGCAAGGGAGCTCTTTGCAGATCGAGTGCAGCTGGTGGTGTTACATACCAGACGGGCTTCCTGCAGCTGCTCCCAGCATGCTTTGGGCCAGCATTTCCATCCCTGCCCCCACACTCACACATATATACCTCACACACACGGTCTGAGAACAGGTGCCCAGGCTCAGAATCCTTCTAATGTGGAAAGTGAGCTGCTTCGGATTACGCAGTCCTCACCAGTATAGATTGTTCATTGCTGCTCCGTTGTATTCACACTGCAGCTCTCTCCCTCCGTTACCCCGTGCCACAATTTGTCAT